TTTTTTTAATATATTTCAAATGACAAACAGACTGATTATCCACCCGATTATAAATGGTAATCGTCGCTCATATCATATGCTAGCTTTTGCGCGCGGCTTCGCTCGCTTTATTTTATTTCTCCCTTAGGGGTGGAATTTATCAAAATTCTTTCTTAGGGCATGCCTACATCTTAGTAGCTTATGCATGCAAAGTCTCAGCCCGATCGGTTTAAAATTGACAAAGTTTCATACAAACTTTCATCCCCTATTTTAACCCCTTCGGGGTAGAATTAATCAAAATCCTTTCTTAGCGGATGCCTACATAACATTTACCTGCATGCAAAATTTCAGCCCGATCAGTCCAGTGGTTTGGGCTGTGCGTTGATAGACCACTACTTCAGTCACCTTTGGGTTATATATTATATATTTAGAAATGAAGAACACCTACACATATCACGTTATCATTGCGCCTTGCCATGGCGGAGAATTAAGATGTCATAAATCTTATCCTGTATTTTTTGTACCTCATCTCAACTTACAAAGCAGACAGCTTGGCCGCTTAAATGACAAATAAAAGAATAAGGTGAGACCCACCCTCGTTGAGGAAGTTCACCACCGGTCTATAAATGTATAGACAAGTATAAAGTAACTATTCGTGAGTTTACTAATAATTAAACAGACATTAAACGTAACACATAAGTAGCTACTTCGTATTCGTATAACAATAACCTTTTTACGAGACATGAACGTGATTAAGTGATAAAAATAACCAAAATACTAATTTGTCATTACGTGTGTATTCATGTGGTAAACAATCGATTTAGAATTAAGATGCTCTTTTTCACAGGATTGTCATTTAATATTATAGGTTAGCATTTTCTACAGACGTAATTTCTTAGGATAGCTGGTTCGTTATTGAGATAAAATATATTTTTGTTTGCTGCATTTTACAAAAACTGTAGATTTTATTTTTGTTTTTCAATTTACAAAATTAACAAGTATTTTAGTAAGAATTATAAGGTACATCAGCGAGTAACATAGTCTATATTTATTTAAATAGATATAGCCCTACTATAGTTCCATTTTTGCACAGGCCTTATTGGTCACTAGCCTATAATATGATTATAATGAAGAAAGTGTATAATTGTTTTTTTTTTTAATAATATAATATATTTAGCAAAATCGTACATAAATATGATTATAATGAAGGTATCCGAAGTGTTTAATTGTTATATGTTTATAATAGATAATTTTACCTATAGAAAGCTATATTATTAATGATACATAGTGGCAACTAGTTGCACACCGCGGTACTGTCTGCATAGGAGACAGTACCGCGGTGTTCAACTAGTTTCCAATAAAGTGCCTAACAGAAAGTACATTTTCAGCGGATACATAGTAGAGTAGAATATAAAACAAACCTCACACTCAGACTACAGATTCACTATCGTAGTCTCCCTGCCCCTCCCTGCTGCCCCCGCACGACTACCGTCGCCATGGGAAATACGCCTGATTGCGCTCATTCGCTATTCTACTGGCCCGCGTAGGGTGCATTCTGAAATTGGCAGCTTTCCTTTTTTCCCAGACAGCGGAACTCGCTTTGACGTCCGCACATACTATATATTGTTTTATATGACTGAATATAAAAGTATTAAGAGTCAGGAAATAAAATATTTCTCATACATGCAATCATATTCTTCTTTTGCACAGTTTTAAACACTGCAACCTCTTATACCCATAAAACCTTGTCTTATTTATTTAATAGTGAATTAGTGATTTATTCTCTGAAGCAATGACCATTAGTATGTAGCCAATATTTAGAGTTTTTTTTAAATTCATTATTACCTCTTCGGTCTAACGACTCAAATGATCTTTACAAATTTAGCATACAATTTTAGGTGGAGAGAAACATTACTTCTTACTCCGGTCAAACCTCGGCTTTCACTACTAAAAAATTAACAATAAATTTTTGCATGATAAGTTAGTATCGTGTCTCTGTTTATCCTGTAACAGCTTGAGAGTAGATAGTCTAGTTAAATAAGCACGCATATTCATATTTCAACTCTTGGCACACTCCATATTACGGGCTATCGGGCATGTAGGCACTTGTACACATAGGTCTCATCAATAATGCTACAATATTTAACAGCCAGTCAGCCGAATCGACATAAAATTGCCTGAGGACTTTCATAACTATTTAGTGGAAAACATTTGTTGCGATATTATTACGAGTTAATAATAAATGAGACCATTTTGTTTTATCCATTAGTGACAAAATAACATATTATTATTTCGGCTGAAATCTGTTGTGGTAAATCACTCTAAATAATAAATTATACAGTCCGATCATTTACCATAAACCTTTAGATCTAATGTTAAATTTATAATACCGTTAAAAATAGCTCATTTATCTATTGTTTCTATCCTACTTTCATGAGGCACGTCGTTATGACGTAGCTGTTATATTATTATTGATATATGCAAGTCGTGTGCAATTTATCACAACCATCATCTTCCGTTTAGACACGAAGTCTTTAACATACCAATTACTATCACTTAAAATGATACGTAATTACAGTTATTAAAAATAAAACCTATATCGACATAGATAGGGCATAATATGATTTGACTTATTATGAAATGTAACCTTACGTAAATTAAAAAAGTACATAGATAATTTGTATCTATAATGACTGTTTCAAATTATTTCACATATTTACAATTGTACACGTATATATACTACACTACTATATGTATACTGTAATAAATATATCCCGTGACCTGAATTTCTTGTAACAGCGTCAAAATATTAGGAGCTCTTAATCACGTTTTCTTAAGAATATGTATCTACTTTTAAAAATAATAGTTAAATAGTTAAAAAAGAGTAGCTGTCAAGTTCCTTGGAGGTTGCGCTCGATAAATAACAACTTTACAAAGTTCACAGTAAATTCATAAAAAACAAGATTTAACACTGTTTGGAACACTATAATGTTCAGTAAAAACTCACAGTAAAGAATACAGATGAGTAGGTACAATGGCGTCATTTCCAGTAACCCAATTTCTTCCAGCGGTTACGTAGTGTATTGTTTTAATGCGGATGATAATTAGTTATACCATAAATATCTGAAACTTCTAATATCGCAGGTTGAAGACTGGGGTGTTACTAGACGCCTTGATCGTCCAGTAACATCCCAATCTTTAGCTGACCAGATATATGGTAATTTATTTTTGCTTTTTTTATGGAACTGAAATTTCAAACAAACTAACGAACCGATTCGATCTAAGTAGGTGATAATCCTCGCTGTATACATGACCAGAACTGACATAACGTAACCAAGTAACGCCCGTGACAACGCATGACAATGCATCTACCTTTTGCGCTGCCATTTTATATCTGAACTGCTCTTACAGGAAACTACTTGGTGATAGAGACAGTTAAAGGAGAATAATATCGGTATAATTGCATTAATGTAACAAACTAGGTATAATACAATATACATATATATATATTGTTTGTACTGACATATTTCAGGTTGACAATCCATTTGTCACAAACTGGCTCTCCCATTTCCGAATTCCGGTGTCGAAACTAGGGGAGGGAAACACCCTTTTGTGTACCACAGAAAAATTCTTTTCTATTAGGTTTCAAAGGCTTTATGCAAAGTCAACAGTAATGTTCACGGATCGTAAAAGATCAGGATAACGTCAAACTATAAAATATCAGTGCCTACAATAATAAAAATGAAACAGTAAGAGAAAGTAAATTCGAAATAAAATCATGGAGCAAGACGCGGTACGGTAATAGGGACCTTTTTTTAGAAGTAGTATAGTGCGAAAAAAAGGATATGCTGTTGATTATATTTTACAAAGGGCGCTCCAAATCCGTGGGAGGACTTATGAAAGAGATGCAGACCAACTCCTATCTGACGGATACGGAACTTCAGTCTGAGAGCATCACTAAGAGCTCGACCCCGGCTCAGATTCGCATGCTTTCGATCCCTGTGTGATAATTATTATTTATTATTAATATACGCGCTGTGTCGAGTTCCATAGTTTCATTCCTTAACATGGTTCTTTACAGGTGACTTCGCTTTGATGGTATTATTATTCGGACTACACTCAGAAAAAAAGATAAACACTAATTATCTCATATATTATATTAATGATACAGATTTCACTATAATTTAGACGATTTCCTCCGGGAGGTTTTTATGTATTAGACACGCATAGACGAGTAGTTATATATAAACTATATATTCGTGTAAAGCCGAGGAGGGTCTAGTCCATGCTATGTACATAAAATCAATATGTAACACAAAACAACAAAACGTCTTTGCCGAATTTAGATCCATCTATACATAGTTATTCTTGCAATGCAATATGACCATAGAATGTAAACTATACTTAACTTATATAAACCTTTAACATCGGGTCAATTTAAATTCCAACACTGTTAAAAAATAAATGTTTGTAGGGTAATAGGTACCTACGACCTACTAGTCTATTGTTTTGTTAAATAACGTTTATTAATGTATCTATAAAAAATATTATATTTCTTTTATTTTAAGATAATTTCCTTGAAATACCGATTATAGACATGACAAAAACATACATGTAACCAACCACATAAGTAAACAGAGTTAAAATTAGATTCATCACAATTAATTGCTACCCTAAGTAATCCAGTATATTATGTATTTATGAAGATATCACATTACATAGACACAATAAAAACACTCTAATTAAATGCTGCATTTCTAAAGAAATCATCAAAATACATACAAGTTATTATTATTAAGCTCTCTCGCCGTATCATTTTAATAGGCAGGGCTTATATTAGGGTGAAACCAATCAATGTACTAAAAACACCAATACATACGTCATTATCCTTTAAGTACATAAATATGTAAAATTAAGTATTACGTGTATCGAGACGATCAGGGACCGTAACGGTGGCAGGGCTTACACAACCGCAGTACATATTAACGCGATGCGAGTGGGCCGCAGCAGTGACACGCCAAACGCCAACATGCACTACACCATCGCTGTGAGTAGTCCTTACGATAGTTTACAATTAAATAAAAAACATTGTGCTCAGTTTTAATTTAGAAAAGTGAATTAAAAAGTTGGTTGAATAAGTGCTAATAAAATCGAACAATAGATGTAAAAAAGGAACAACCCTCAAATATAAGAAAAAAACGAATGGTCCCTTAAAATGATATCGATCGGGATACTAATTGTGCCCCAATTGAAACCGTTTTTCCGTAGAGTTAGTTGGGGGTAGGGAGCATCACGAGAAAAAAACTGTACCGAAATCCAGAAAATGACGAATGTAGTCGCTTAAAATAAAAAAAAATATATAAATATTGTCAATATCTTATATGGAGATCTTTAACCATTTTTTTCTTTGGCAAAAAAAACCAAATAGGGCCGGTCAATTCTGTTTTTGAAGTGATGTGCTAATATACATATATTTAGGTTAACGATTTACAGAGAGAGCATTTACATGATTCCTTTATTTTTAACTAGCTGTAATTCGCGATTGTGACTATGTTTAAGATAAATATCTTTCATCTTAAAAATAGGCCTATGTCCTCGTGCTACAAATCGAAAATTTATTTTCAGGTCAAATAAAAAAGTAATAAGACGGACTGACAAATACTTACGTTTTTTTTTTCAATATTAGTATGAATTTACGTATAAAGAAAAAATCTTGACACAATAATTTGATTGGTCTCCAATTATTACCATGAATTATGTGTCTATTATCCATCACATCAAAAAATACTTTAATTCGTCTCTAACATTTCATTTGGCTGATACGAGTATCTAAAAATAAAGTTACGATCGTAAAAAGCTAAAATTTACGCTAAACAAAGTATCCGTTGACCTTATACATCGACCTTTTAAAAAATATTCGTCTAAATTATTTTGAATTTGCGCATAAATTATTGACAATATTCGTCTACCCTTATGTTTAACCCTCATATGTCACCCTCGATAACAACACCTACTCTTAATGCAATACATTTTAACCGATTTAAAAAATGTAAAGATATATTTTTCTTGTTCTTGTATTTAATATACACCCTTTGTTATTAATTGTAATGTTATCATGATGATAATTACTATTTCATACGTAAAATTTTGTTTTTCAATCGATAAGTTTCGCTCTCATTCAAATTTCATCAGATATCGCTGTTTTTTATGAAACACAAAATGCTCAGTTTGTTTAATATAAAGTTATTACTTTTAAATATACCCGTATTTATTCTCTTTACATTACCTACTGAATTTAATGTTGTCACTATGAAAGTTTTATATAAAAAAATGTTTTACAGTTAACTCTGACCGTATTGATTGCGGGTCACATGGCGTCTCCTGTGCCAGACCCAGACCCTCATCATACTCGGTAAGTTTTTTTATAGTTTACTAACACGTTAATTATACGTTATCTATACATATAATACAAATATAAACTATTATTGTAGGCCTTCTATCGACTTAATTTAATAGAATAGAATTAATAATTAATAGAATAGAACATTGATTATTAGATTTTTTGTCCCTTTGTTTGTGTTTGTAGTTACGAACGGAATATAATAATAAATAAGTAAAATACAGATTTAAAAAATCTATTTATCTAAAATGTAATCGTAATAATACAATTTATTAATACAATAATATTATTCTAAAAATTAAAATATATAAATTATAATTTTGTAAAAGTAAAAAAAAAACTAAAAGAAAGTAAAGTCACTAAAACTGATTCCAATTTTATGAAATTATTGCGTAATATAAATAAAATATAAGCACATAGTGGATTTGAATACAAAATGTCCTTATTAAAACCCTGTAAAATAGAAGTCAATATATAAAATTACACCTATAAGGTACATACATTTATTATGAACAAACTGCTTTTCTGACGGGAATATATGATGGCGTCATTTTACAGCTAATGGACTTATGCATTTCTTATAACACCGCCATCGAAGTGAATATACCTAACAAGCTGATGGATCCATAAGAATATATAAGTATATACATATATATATCAAACATATTAAAATAATCTATGATTTCGTGGATAACTTTACAAAAACTATTTTAAGTAGATAAATGCACTTAATTTCAGTTTTTATAGATTTTATACTACACTACATAATACATACTGTCCTAAGTGGTATACACCTTAATAATTTACTTATTTTATAGATAACTAGCTACTCGGCTACCCCGGCTTCGCACGGATGTACATGTATTATATATATACCTTCCTCTAGAATCACTCTATCAATTAAAAAAACCGCAACAAAACCGTTGCGTAGTTTTAGAGATTTAAGCAAACATAGGGACAGACATCGGCAGCGACTTTATTTTATACTATGTAATACTGATAACGAAATGGCGCACTGCGCTGACATTTAGCGCTGGCGGTGCACAAGTAGACGATCAGCCCATCGTGGCGAATTCATAAGTAATAGTTAACCACGATAGTTTCCAGGGGTCAGCCTGTCCTGGTCAATATGTTGCTAGCAATGCGGTATAAGTCCACATAACTAGCAATCCCCTCCCCCACTTTAACTATTCATGAAGCTATATTCAAAACTACGTAGCTTCTGACCGCGACTTCGTCCGCCTGACTATGATTGACCGGGATAGAATGTACCCAATGTATTTTACATCCATAACGGTGTGTGGTAATGGTACGGTGTACGGTAAATGAAACAAACAAACAAGCATTTTCGTGTCTATAAACCGATTTATCAAATAATCATACAAAATGTTTTGAAAATCTTAATCAAAGTCTGTGTGGTGTGTGCGATCACGAGACACACGTTTGCTTGTGTGTAAGTACACACAAACAAACATCAGTCTCAGTTAATCCTACGATATTGACATATATTCTCGTAGATAAAAAAAATCATCTCACAATCGTAACCTCAATTTAGATACTAGTCATTTAGGCTACCTATAGCTCACCTACACCTGTCAGCCTTTCAGCTATATAATACAAATTACAACTAACTTATTTATGTTTATTTTTTTCAGCATAAGAATCCATATTCCTCAAGACGTGCATACTATTCATCATCATCATATCCAGACATATCCTGTGATAAAGGAATTGCCTATCATTAGAGAGGTCCCTATTGTTAAGGAAGTGCCCATAATAAAGACTGTACCTATTGTTAAGACCTTACCAGTGCCCGTAGTTCATACTGTAGCGGTTGAAAAACCTGTACTTCTACCTCTTGGTTGGCACTGAGTGACAACACCAGGAAAATGTTCTGTATATAATAGTATAATCATGTTATAGGGATGTTTCCGAAGATATCAATGGTGGAGACTTAAGCTTCTATGATCTCCTTTAGTACACCTAATTAAAATGACAATTACAGTCACAACCCGACGTGTTTTGTGTTAATTATATGTATAAAACTGATGTTTCGATACGGACAATGTAATAATAACTTTGTTTGGTGTAACCGTTAATATCTGTAATGTTTTACTCAATTACGTCTATCAATTGACAAGATAATAATACTCTATAGACCATAAATTTCATATGTTGTCATGATACAGTAATTGGGTCACAAGGTAATACATCAAACGGTATTAAAACATTGTTAGATTTATTAAGTTAATGTCGCACCTCGAAAGCTTTCGATATTCAATAACATAAAATGCTAAATAGCTTTCATATACACGTGTTTTTGTTGATTACATATAAATAAGCTTTAAGTTAAAAAAATATCGAATATAAAGCATACGTAATGCTAAATGTTTATTTTTTTATTTTTATATTACTAAAAACATATACTGTCAAAATGCACTTATAGTATAAAATGTAATCATAAATACATAATAATTTTCAATAAAAAGATGAAGTAATATGTTGTATAGGTAATAAAATTAGATGTTCTAAATTAGACATGTTCTAAATCGATTTCTCGAATCGATGATTTTGTTGAAAATTATCAATTTTGATGTGTCAATTTTTTGACAATGTCAAAATCTAATTTCTCAAAACGAACATCATAGTAAGAATCTATCGTGTAAATAATTTAACACAAAACAATATCGATAACTTTTGTGCAATAAATACTTATGTTAAAGATTTTTTATTTATCTGTTCATTTGTCAAAATGACAAAATTCACTACACGTCACGTAAATAAAGCGTAAAACTGCAGGAGGGAAGAATACATTGGTCGTGTTAACAGACTTTTAATTAAAGTACGATAATCTATCTATCTATAACCAAGGGGTTGGTAAAAATATTGTCATCAATTATTGTTGTAGTTAATCGTGTCTTAACACGAATAGTTAAATACATATATATAAATAAATATAGTATAATAGTAAATAAAAGTAGCTTTACTCAAAGTATCTACTAGGTCATATAGGTACAGCGATGTTGATGTCGGTAGATGCCACCACTATTTTCGAATACCGTCACTAGATTGCCCAACAAAATATCGCGATACACAACTTCGTACGAACGTAGTTTGAACTTATTTATCAAATTTTAATATTCAATTAACAATATAATAACTTGTAATAAACAGAAATTTTAAAAAATCATTACCTTCAAATAAAAAAAAATGAAGTTGTATAATAATAAATTATAATTCTCAATAAAAGGACAATCATATTGAAGACCACACGTAGCGATAGAATTTTCAAACCATTTCACACCATCAATGCACCATCAGATCAGCTTTGTATATGTATCTATGCGCAACTGTGAAAATTATTTGTACATAATGGGCGGGTCCATTGTTGAGGTGTTATCTCGGCGAGCCGTGTTGCCCTATTGTGGCCATGTCAAAATTGAAAACCATTTTGTTCATGGGTCCAATAATGTCCGAAATATTGAACGTGTTATATTGAAAATCTGATGATAATATTAGGAGATTGATTGATTTTAAACCGACCACAATAACAAAAATGTGTAGTTTTAATTAAAAAACTTACTTGATTCAATGCTAAGTTTAAACTTAGCATTCATTTAAAAGATAAAATTATACGAAAGATATGAATGTTTATGGTGTAACTGACGAAGTGAAGTAGAGAGCCCATATATTATAAATAGAGTACCAAAGAACTGATTAACAGAGACATAAATTAACAATGAAATATTCAATTGTAACCTTTAATTTTATGTAGAATACGATTCACTGACACGGAAAGGATCATTAAAATTATTGACTAAAGACAATATTGCGGCTCAAAATGCTAAGCTTAACCACAGATAACATAATATTACATAGCTTAACCAAGCAATAAAGTAACATGAGCTACAATCACAGCCGGGACTCCTAGCCCTAACTTTATACCCCTCAAAGTTATGAAACTTGCTAAAACTTCTAACTAGGTACAAACACGTAAAATGTACAATTAGATGTAGATATGTACATCAATACGAGATTTTGTATATACTCAGCAATTTACATATGTAGTTGGTTTATGATAAGTTCAGTGAGTGTATAAACTCGGTTCATCCCAAAAGATAACGAACTGATGTTCAAATATATTTTCATATTTCCTCGCACCAGAATCTGTATTTTCTAAAAGGTTTTAATGTAGTAATAAAAAGAAAGTTTACCTTCTCGTTAATAGTATACTCTGTATCTACCCCTAACTTGGATGCAAAAGGTTCGAATCTGGCTGACACCAATAACTTGCATGTCTATTTATATTTCTGACTGACTCTCCATTCGTTAAAACATATGAAACTAAAGTAATTTGATGATGGCAGTAGATTCCGGAATAATTTAAATAACTTAGCGAACTGTAAGCAATCCAGTTGTATTTTCTTGATTTAAATTTAATAATCGAGGTGTCATTAGATTGTCCATAATTATAGGAGTAGTGTAGATATTAAATATTAGGAATAATATATGTACAAGTATCCACATTATGTTCTACAAAATTCTGTAAATTTCTATAGAAATGATTTTACCGATAGTGCTAAATTCTACTGATGCCACTAAGGAATACTTACAAACTTGAGTTACTGCTCTTTATTGTTGCTATTTTCGTTTTGTAGGCGTTTCGGGATATCGGTAATGCAAAATATTATATGGGACTACTACAAATATAAAATATAAATGCAAGAAATAATCGTAGAAATCTATTTCCAATAAAATTTTGGTAATATCGCAATATACACAGTTTTTAACATAAGACAGTTTGAGTTCAGAAGAAGATAATTAAAACTTAAATAAAGTCATCCTTCAAAATTTTACATTTTTGTAACAAGTCATATTATTTTTGTTCATATATTTACCTCTTCTAATAATTCCCATCACCTTCAACTTATTCTTCTTTTATGGACATTATTTTTTAGACTTTTACTTTCTCTCTTATTAAGCTTTCATCATCAGCATCAACAAAATGCATTGAATTCTAGAATAATAATATCGAATCCCAGTCTCCACTCTACTTGCCCGAAACTTTATAATCAGCATTATTACTGTTAATATTTAACACTTCATATTTTTAATTCAGACACAAGCAATCCAGCCAGTGATTTGAATGGTTAATGCTCAATTAATTCTTTTGTAAACAGCAGATAAACGTACTGCTGTGAATATAACCCTTGACAATCCCGATAGCGTGTTACACAAAACTGAGATAGCAATTTAAAATACAGTTTAATTCAATAAAATTATTTGCATGGAACAATGGAATTTCATGTGGAATAATTCGTTTATACTTGTGGTTGATTGTGTTTAATGAGCTCATCTGGATGCTCATTAATGCATAGTTACAGGTACCTTGTTTAATAACAACTGCACATATAAATGGGGAAGTACTTATTTGGTTAAAATCCCTTTAGGCGCCGTCCTGACAGGTTTGGCGCCGGGTCGACCTCCATGATCATAAAGTTTTAATTTCAGGACTCCTATGGTGTGTCCGATCAAAAGTAATACTCGGAAAAATTTACGGATAAGAGGCATACCCTCTTAATCTTCTGAAAGCATTAGTGGTATCACAGGTCTCACATAATGAAGTTCGTAGTGCCATTCATGTATATAAGAGATGGTTACACGCCATTTTATTAGACAATTATAGTATTTAGGTGAAACTGTTAAATCAGTGATCATAGTAATATTAAAATACTACTCATGTTTTTAACTCTAACGTAACTATGAATACCTATTTGTACTCTTGACTCTAGACAATATTGTATGTACATAGGTACGCCCATGTTTGCTTATCCGCAAAGTTTTAATACTATATTTATGAAATAAGTTAGCACCTATAATCTACTAAACTTTTTATACCATACCTAAGTTTATGCTACCAAAGAGGCACTAAATTGTACAGAAAACAAAAAGTTCCATTATTAATGAAGTGAAATCATGCGATCCGATGTGGAACACCACGTGATTTCCGGAAAATTATGGCCTCAACGAAATTTTTAAATTATTCAACGCGATAACCAATTATACAGGCCAGTAATCTCTCTAGCCGGGACATCGGAGCGGAAAATTTGTTTCGGATAAATATATCGCTTCAGCTCTTTAACTATTTTGTCTAGTCTGAGAAAAATATGATTAAACCTTCATCTTTTACGGTAATTAATTGTTTTTTTTTTGACAGACAATAATGGGATGATCCTAGACCAATGATAATGCGTATGAGTAGAGAGAGAGAAAGAATAGGATGCAATCGAATCATTTAGCTCATCAGAAATTACAATGACGAATTCTCAGAAAACTCTACCCGTAATTGCTAATAAGACTAAGACCTTCTAATCAGATAGATTAAGGTATAGGCACTATAATCACGACTATGTTCAGATATATGGTAAAGTAAGAGACGTCGACAATCACATAAATATTATGAAATAAAAAAAATTTTGAAAATTTTAATAACAACGAGTCATACATAGGTAACGTTAGAAAGTTATTAAGTATGAAAGAAAACAATTTACAATGATAATATTAGGTTCAATCTTGTGCAATTGTATAGTGACAAATCCCCAGTGAACTAGCTAGCTGAGAAGTGACACGTGAGTTACAGAATGCTAAAAAGCTACATGCATTCGCAACCTTTCCAAGAAATTCAGTAGAGAAAACGTAGAGCTCACTTACATATAATTATACATAAAATGAGTAAGCGAAAGATGCAAGGATCGTGGCAAGTGGCGCAAAAATGTCGCTACATTACCCCCTTTGGAACTCAAGAACGTAAGACCAACAAAGTGTTACTATTAATACCGTTATAAGTACAGACTGGCGTGTCGTTAAGATAC